TTCATTGAGTGTCTCACCGAACACTTCTCGGCACAGAGCAACTTTACCACATACAAGAATGCGATGCAATTTACGAAATTTCACATCCGCCTGGCCATCACGTCCGAATGCAAATGTACCACGATAGCCGATCGTTATATAGCCACCTGTAATTTCTATGCCATTTGTGAAGTAATGATCAATCATTCAGCTGACCAATCAGCTTATTTTTTATGTCTTTTATATATAAAAATTTTTGTGTTTATTTATATATGTATAATTTTCCAAAATTTCATCTGTGTTTATTTGCAAGTAGTTAAATTTTTAAAAAATATAAAAACTATATCAGTATCAGCAATTGGTATTTCTCTAATTTTTATGTGCCATCCAATCAGTCTGTGCCTCTTGTTATTTTTTATTACTTTTTCAATTTTTCTTTTTTTTTTATTATTTTTTAAATTTATCCCCTTTTTACTTTTTAAAATTATAACTCGTTTTCTTAAGAAAATTTTATTTCGTTTTGTTTTTACTGATCCTCTTTTTATTTTTTAAAATCATAACTCATTATCTTATAGGAACTTATTTTATTTATTTTTATTGGCGAAGCCCAATTGTGGTAGTGAATAGGAATGTACACGAGTTAATGGACCGAGGTATTCCTGTTCATCTAATCTTCTAGTATAATTTTATATTTATATATATCACAATTAATATTTCTGTTATTATTACTAGCATCTGCGTATTTGGAGGGCGGGGCTGTGAATAAATAGCTGCTCCAAGTATTTTAAGTGTGATAATAGTAATAATTATTGTTATTATACCGCTTTTTAATACTAAATGGACCAGAATAATTGATATATAGACTCGTGGAAGACTATAGTATGTTTTGGAACGTGGAAGACGGCGGTTTCAGGTTGTTACAGTGGATTTAATCAATCTGCTTTGGCCCTAATGAGCGTCATCTTTAGGTACTCTAGGGTTGTGCCCATACTCTGGATTCTATAACACACAGCTAGGATTTTGTTGATTGTAAGAAAAAGAATTGGCTCTGGGTTATTCTGGACGAACACTGTCCTACCTCTGATTATTCCTATTGTTTGTAGGATTGGTGCGACCCTTGCCGTCGTTACCCTGCGCTGAATGGGCCGTTGTTCCTGGCCCTGGTTACTACCCTCTTCCTTTCTCCCACAGGGCCTTTGAGGCCCTTACTGCCTTTTACTTTTAAAAGTTAAGGTAGCTCAAGTTTCGGCTTCCAAAACAGCTTGGGTGTTTCCAGCTGAAATGTAAGAGAATTTAACATCCTTAAGCTCTAAAAATGATGCTCTGGGGATTCGAATTTTTCCTGCTCTCTGATCTGTCTTGTCTGGTTGCTTCTTTACCTTCAAGATTTATTACTTCTTTTCAAGCAATTACTTATCCGAACTCAAATGGGTGTGAAAGCAGTCTTCCGTTGCACGTTGCAAAATGAAATATTTATATGTCTGTGAGATCTGGTAAGTATGGATTAATTTCACGTTGTTTTCGTCCGGGATCCCATTTAATCTTCTCCGAACTGACAGCTCGTCTCAGACGAATGGTGCTTCCCTTCTGAGTTTGCTCATATATTTTTTGAAAAAAGAGCGAATGAGACCAAAAGCTATGAATTACAAATGCTTTTTTTGCCAAACATACACGAATTTACACATACATAAACAAACATACACACGCACTCATTTTACCCGGAAGTATTTGTATCCATAATCGTTTAGATTGTTAGTGTGAGAAGCACTGAATGTTGTCACATGTGGCAGTTGGCTTGAAATTGAAAAGAGACTTGATGGTGTGCGCTGGGAAGCGCGTTCCAGCATCGCAAGCGCACGCTTTTGGATGCTTTGAA